GTAGATGCCAGGAACAAACCCAACTGATTTTTTGTGAAGATTACATCATATTTTGATGCTGTAATAGGTGCAATGTTCACCTGAGCTTAAGTAAATTGTCTAAACTGGGAAACTCACATGTCCTGAGTCTTCTTCAGTCAGCCAAATACAAATATCAACAAATTCCTTTCACCTAGTTTCAATTTCATTGACCTACTGTACAACATTAAGGTTTCTTCTATCAGTTGATTGATCAGCGCTAAACTCAGTTACTTATTCAAGCAGGTTTGGCATGTTTAGGGCGTTCACACAGAGAAAATGGCAAAATAATGTATATTTTAAAAAGGTATTGTAAGGAAACATTTGATTGTACTGTTCGTGAACACTTTTGTCCAACAATGCAATGCGCAAATAGAAAAGGAGAAGCTGCTCATAGCTGGAAAAAAATAAGAAGCAATTGTGAATAGTGGTGAAAAGGCTCCAGGAGCACCTCAGAGAACAAACATGCCAAAAAAGATATTCAGTTTTGGAAAAAATACAGTAATTTTGGCTGTTTAATTGACAGCTGCATCCCAAAGTTGCAGTGAGACTGACGTGTTGATGCATGTCATGCATCCTTTCCTGTTACCATGAAAATGTAGTTGATACATAATATTGAAAATGAATAAATGCAAATGTGACAAAGCAGTATTTCAGGACCTTATGACTGTGGGCACTATTTTACACAAAGGTACTGAAGCAGTGTCTGAAAGGTGACCTCCCTGTCACCTGTGCTTCCTGTGTTAATCAAACAGATCATGTGTCTGATCCATTTCTTTGCACACACCTTGTGACCTGGCGTCATATCAACGAGCTTCAACTTTTCAAATGACTCATCATCATAGTTTGGTTACCCCACCCTAGGTACAAATTAATTAGCCTTAATAATTATGACAACATCATGGAACCACATTAAGCTTAAGGTATTCATTGTGGCATTCTTCAGTGTTATCAGTGTGCCTTTATAAAACACGTATGAAGATGGAGTAGCAACAAAGGAATGATTTCTTGAAATAGATTTATGCTAACAGTGAAACTGGTTGTGATAACATCTGTCATGTGAAACCTCATGATCATTTCTGGTTCAGGTGCATTTGTCTCAGCCTACATATGCATTCAATCATCTGTCAGCATGTTATGTAATGAATTTAACCCTTGTGTTCTGTTAAGGATCTTAAATAATGTCACAGTGCTTTGTACACCCAGCTATCCATCCTGACTCTTCATTGACATTTTGGAATGTTGCATCATGTAACTGTTTCAGACATGGCTGGTGTCAGAGATTATACATTATCATTATACATGCAGCCTCATTCAACATACCCAAAGTACCATGGCCAACGATTCGGCACTAACTCATTTTAATAAAGATCCTGGATGCATGCAATTCTTGCCATCACCATTGAAGCGTGGCATGACAGTAAACTTCATTTTAATGCAAAGATCAACAAAACAGTCTTTTTTATCTTGTCAGTTGCCTTAAAACAAAAAGGAAAAAGAACAAACATTCCTCTCACACAGAGTTTGACTGGATGGGCACCATTTTAATCCTGGGTTTTCAGATGCATATTGGCCCATGACATATTCCAGTTGTGAAATAACTATAACCAAAGTCATGATTCACAAAATCTCACTTGTCCTTGAGCAGTTTTTAGATCAAATTAGTTTGAAAACTCACATTTAAATATATGTCACTGTGAAATCTACACACACACCAGAGAAAAGCTGCAGTTCTTTCCCTTTAAATAAGGCTATGATACATTTCTAATCATCTCTCCACAATAAGACAAGCTTTGGAGCATGTTTCCTCAACAAAAATATTAGAAAACATTTGATATACTGCAGATTGTTGTATATTCACTGTAAACAAATTTGAACCGTAGCCTATTTTACGTCTGACGGAAGTCATTTGGGTTGCAGCTCCGACAGTAATCTACTTTACTAGTGAACCTAAACAGTAGCTTAAGTGAGCATTAAACTGACATTGGACTTACAGCACAGTCATTCAGGTAACAGAGGTTGTGGGTAGGTGTTTCTGTCTTAGGACAGCCACAGTGATAGCTGTAAAACAAATTGTACCAGTCTGAGTGGTGAGAAAATACTGAATGGAGAATTGAATTACTTAAAATCTTTTACACAAGAAACCTCCTGTTACAGGCAGGCAAACGTGTCAGTTTCCACTATATACTGGTATATGCTGGTCTCTGGTTTGATAATCAAGTTTGATAATCAGGCTTGTTATATCTTTTGTTGACTGTAACAATAAGAGGCATTGTTGGGCAAGATGCATGTGACTTTATACTAGCAGCGATCTGTTGCATATTGACACACATAATCGTTCTCATGATCTATGTGACAGCGGTCAGCCCTCATGCATAACTTAAAGGAGCACATCATGATCTGTTCTTGGCTGTGTCTGGTGACCCAACATCAATCATGTCACTTTGTGTTTGAGTGCATGCTGACAGCAGTAAATTAATGCTTAAATGTTGCAGCAAGGTGTGGCTGTGGCTCAGGGATAGAGGGGGTTGAACTCTGATTGTAGTTTTGGCAGTTTGATCCCTGGTCTCCCCACTCCACATGATGAAATGTCCTTAGGTGTGACACCGAGTCCTAAGTTGTTCCCACTGGCCAGGCCAGTACACTACATAGTAGCTCCGCCACCATCAGTGAAAATCTGTAAAGTGTTTTGTGCACGTAAGGTAGAAAAGCGCTATATTGTATGAGTCCATTTACCATTTTGACAAAATCTAGAACAACAGACCTGGCTTATATCCTTTTATAAAGATGTCACCTAAAATAATGTTCTGATTTATTATTGTACCATTTACAGTTTTGGATGTGACATTATTATTATTATTTATTTATTTTTGTGATGACAGGTATCCATCTAAAAATGAGGAGCAGATGCCCTAAACCATGAGAGAGGACCATTGCGTCGGAGTTCCCCACTGAAGAGGAGATCCAGTGATTTTACTTTATTATACAACTGTATTTCTGCCTAATGTTATTGTGGTGGATCTGTTGGCGTAAACATGTTCTGTTCTTAGGTTCAACGGTTTTCCATGAAGACAGGACTCAGCCATGTTTATCAGCCTGTCCTGCAGCTCCTCAACCTTCCAGTGAGTCGGACCATGCTGTACTGTATGTTATCCATAATATTTGTGACTAAGTTGTCAAAATAAATATGCTCTTTTGTGCTTTAGGCCATTCATGATGTTATAATGATCACTGTGGTGTTTATCAGCAAACCTGTGCAGATGCTGTGCAAAACATGACTGGACAGCTCGAAGAGCGAATGCTGTTAGAGTTGGGACTTGCCTTAAACTTTGTTTTCCTCTCTACCCTCAGAGAACAGTCCGTCTCAGTGGCACCTTCTGCCTCACTCCTACTGTGGAGGTACGGGCCATTCACCCAGCAACATTGAGACAAAGAATGCTGTGATACACAAACAACTTGATGCCTTCAAATATGCAAACTTGTTGTATTTAAGACAGTTTTCCAGTAGAGTTTGCTTCTTTATACTGTATGTGTGTTGTGGCTTTGTCCAGATGCACATAGTGAGCAAGAGGAAGGACTTAACTTTCAGTGAAGCATACATTTCAGGACTAAGTTGACAAAATAAATACATTCTTCTCTTCTTTAGGTCATTCATGGTGTTATGATAATCACTGTGGTGTGTATCAGCAAACTGATGGCTGAACAGCTCAAAGAGATAATGCTGTTATAATATGATTTGGACTTGCCTTAAACTTTGTTTCCCTCTCTACCCTCAGAGCATGGACCAGTCACCTGTCAACATTGATACAAAAAATGTTGTGATGAACAACCATCTTAGTGGTTTCAAATATACAAACTTTGACAACAAAAATATCAAGTACATCACTAACTGTGGCCACTGAAGTTTAAAAGTTTTCTTTCCTATAATAGAATGATTTCCTGGGTTGTGGCTAAGTCTGGATAGAGACCAAAGTGTCTCAGTGATGGACTAGCTCTCTGGGTGTACGGGATGCACATGATTTACAATTTGCCTATTTTTGATATTATAATGATTTTTCTAAAGCATGGATGCCACAAGATAAAGTTTGCTTACTCTGCTGTATAAGCACTAAAGTCGCGTTCTTCATTGCAGAGCTGTTGCAGTGAGACTTTCCCAAAACACACCTACTGTATGAAGCTGGGAAAACAAGAGAGAAGTGATATCTTGACACATAACTGCAACCAGTGAAACTGGTTTTAAAAAATGTAAAAGTAATGTGCTACCACTTGATCATCTCTATCTGGCTCAGATCTATTTATCTATTCATCTGTCAGAATGAATGTGACTTACGTAAACAGTTGAGATAAATATGTCACATGCTGTGCACCAGCCATCCACTCCACCCTGTTCCAGAAATGTTGTACTGTTACTACACATCACCTCCACATCAGATCTTTGCTACTGACAGATCTACAGTACCTAGACTAGTAGCTATTTTGTGTCTCACTCTTACTGAGAGACACTGTAAAAATCTAGTTGTAAGAACAAGAGCTCATTATTATTGTTTATGTGACATTTATATTGCCGGCCGGGATTGGCTCCGGCCACCCCCCGTGACCCCGTTCAGGGACTAAACGGTAGAAAATGAATGAATGAATGACATTTATATTCAACTGATGCAGCTTCCTTTACTGTACAGTACTTAAAGGACACATGTAGCATGTAGTCAAAAAGGTTTATGCAAAAAAGATAAATTCAGTTTGTAAAACTATTTTCCATATTCAGTGCTTCTCAGTTTAATTCAACAGACAAAGACAGTTCCTGGAACTATGAAGCCACAGTAACGATACACAAGAACTTTTATCCTGCGATGGGCTGGCGACCTGTCCAGGGTTTACCCCGCCTTTCGCCCACAGCTGGCTGGGATTGGCTCCAGCCCCCCCCGTGACCCCGTTTGGGACTAAGCGGTTTACAAAATAGATGGATGGATGGAAGAACTTTTATGCCACCTGCACAGCAGAGACTCATCCTCCCCACAAAGAAAGGCAGCAACTGGTAGGTGAACATAGTGGAGCATTTAAGAGTCAGATATTTCCCCAAGTCTTATAAATCTTATTTTTAAATTGGCTCCAATTTCATTTTGCAGAATTGAGTATATTTATATAGTAAATGTAACAACCATACTGACAGATTTATACTTTCTCTTGTGAAACCAAGGCATTTTCTTTAGTATAAAGGTAAGGGTGTGGTCCAGTGAGAAAGAGGCGGATTCAGATCACATGCTGGATGGGTTGAGACATTAAAAAGAGATGTCTCCACAGTATTTAGCCGACAGAGAGGAGGAACAGGTGTGCTAAAGGTAAGACACTATGGTGCTCATGTCACCAGGGTTTAGAATTTAATTGAAGTTAGAAATCCATAGAAAACATTTAAATAAAATACGTTGATTTGCATTAGCCAAGATTTAATGTAGATAGTCATTAGTTTTAGTGAATAAATTGGTGTGACTTTTTATCTGTTATCTTAGATGAACTGTCTTGTAGTAGCTGTGCTTGCTGTGTGTGCCCTTGTACCCAACGTCTACTCAGAAATAGTCGGTAGGTGTTTGAACCTTTATTCATTTTGAATAGTGACTCTCTATAATTTTTTGTCATGACTAAATGATAACTATGTGCTCTTGTCCTCCCCCAGCAACCCCTCTGCCCTTAAAACCATCCTAAACACAGGCGAGACAGGTGAGGGATGGGTGTGAACTGAAACCCTCTTAAATTGTTCCAAGTGCTGTGATTGTATTTAGTTATGTAAGAAGGAAGCATTTCAAAACTTTTAAACGCTTGAAAAGGTGTATGTTTAATTTTTTTAAAGACGTACAACAGCCTTGCAAGTAAGATTTCCTCCTCTGGTGGTGTCACAGACACAAGTGTGGACAGGAATGTCAACTGTCATGACACTGGCCCCAACATCCAGCCATGTTGATGTTTTTGTCCTGTTTCTCATCAGTTTTGATTTAGCAGTCCATCCTGTTTTTGAATGTCTTCCAGTCAGAGTCACCATTGGAAGTGGTGTTAGGGTTTCAGGAGGGGGTCTGTCTGAGGCCTACGACAGCCTGCAGTTCCACCTGCACTGGGGTAATGGCTCCTCTGTCCCCGGCTCCGAGCACACTGTGGATGGCAAGCGCTATGCAATGGAGGTATATGTACATAATTTTTGTTTAACCTTGAAATAAAATATATTTTTTTCAATAAATTCATATTAATTTCCTTCACTCCCCCAGTTACACATTGTAAACAGCAAGTCATCCTATAATCAGAACACAACTCTTGCTGTTGCGGACTCCACGGGAATCGCTGCTCTTGGTTTTTTCATTGAGGTGAGAAAAGATGCATGTACATTTTTGTAATGCCACAGTACTCTACTGTAGCTACTTACAAGTTATTACTCATTACACTATGTATCAACCACTTGTTTTTAATTCAACAAGTTTTTCTAAAAATCTAATGCTATTTAAAAATGCTTTGAATCCTGTTAAAATTCACAACTTCTATGCAGCTGCATCATTTATTATGTTTTCTTTAGTGTCGTCATTCCACTGTTTGTTTACGCCACAGGCCTATAAATATTAAAACCTAATTAAACAACATACACTTATCCAGGTAATGCCAGGTAATGCAACTGGCCAACCTGCAGCCTGGCGCAACTTGACCTCCTACCTGGCCAACATCACACAGAGAGGTAAGAAGATGTTTTTCAGTTTGTTTGTTTTTTTGAACTTTTTTTTTTGAGTTTTGACAATACAAATAGAACATTCCCTGAGACAAGAGCAGCGTGATGGTACATGACATACAGCAAATGCTTATGTACATTTAAAATAAGTACAGTAGTGTAAATATCACAAAATAATAAAAAATAAATGCTACATACAACAGTAGTTGCAGACAGGGTCAGGTTCTGTCATGGAATTGGTTCAACAACCCCAAAATCTTATTGTGCACCAAGATATATTTTCACAGGATGCCATCTCCTGTTGAAAATGTCCATTTTCAATTGTAAAGATGCCGTCATTTTTTCCATAACAAACACTTGTCTTAAGTGTTAAGAAAACAGTAATAGTGTTCTTAGCAATCAGTACCAATATCCGCAGCATGTATCTTTGGTCGGCGTCAAAACCTTCACTTGAAATAACACCAAGTAAATAAAACAAAGGGCTTGAAGGGGTCTCCCGTTTTATGATTTTCTCTGTCTCCTCTTTCACCTGTTTCCAGTATTCAATGATCACTGGACAGTTCCAGAGTATATGTGTATGATCTCCTACTTGCCCACGTTGTCTCCAGCACACTGCTATTGAAGAGTCTTTAATAAAGTTAGAAATGACGAGAGGAGTATGGAAATATCTGACTTTGATTTTCCAATCAAATTCTTTCCATTGCTGACTGTTGACACCTTTATGACTCCCTTTACACATATTTTCCCATAGTTTATCTTCTATTATAGTGTTTAACTCTAATTCCCATTTCTCCTTTATATTCATAGTATCATGAGCCGTGTCAGAAGAAAGTCTTCTGTAAAGATTGGAGACAGTTTTTGTTGTTGACTGGTTATATTCTGCAATTGTAATGAAATATTGTTCTATCTTATTTGGAGTTCTACTAATTCTTTCTTTCTCTTTATTATTCGTGACGTATTGTCTGATTTGAAAGTATCTGTAAAGATCATTTGATGGCAGGTCGAACTGTTCCTGAAGTTGTGAGAAAGACTTCAAATCTGTTCCCTCAAACAGTTGGTTGATTGTGACCAGGCCCTTCATGGCCCATCTCCTAAAACCATGATCCCACATGGAGGGTGGAAAATCTATATTGCCCACTGTCGGCATGGCTGGAGAGAAAGATCCAGTGTCTTTTAACATTTTTTTAACTTCTACCCAAACCTTCAAAGTGTGTTTTGTCCATTCATTTCCGATTTTCATTTTGTTAACACATTTTAAATCAATGAAGGGGAGAGTGCATAGGCGTACCCCCTTAGTTTCACCCTGTTCTATTTGAATCCATCCTACTTCCTCATCTCGCCAAATCCAAGCTGCAACTGCCGCCAATTGAGCTACCCAGTAGTAAAATTTCACATTCAGCAGTGCTAGGCCCCCCTTGCCTTTAGGCAAATAAAGTGTTTGTAGTTTTGTTCGGGGCCTCTTATGTTGCCAAATAAATTGAGATATTAATCAATTTAACATAGTAAAGGTTGAGATGGGAACTCGTATAGGCAAAGACTGAAACAGAAAAAGGAGACGAGGAAGCAGATTCATTCTTATGGTTTCCACCCTGCCTAGCAGAGATAGGGGGAGTACCTCCCATCGGACCAGATCATTCTGTAGTCTAGTTTTACAGTTTTCTTTGTGAAATTTGCTTCACTGTCCTGTAATAACATGTCAGCTACAGTCCTTCAGAGGTTGTGTTTCTGTCCTCAGGTGAGTCTACTCTTATGGCACCTGGGATTTCTCTGGACGACCTCCTGGTCGGGGTGAATCGTACCAAGTATTATCGATACCTTGGATCCTTGACCACACCCATGTGCAATGAGGCCGTGGTTTGGACGGTGTTCAAGGATCCTATCCAAGTCAGCAAAGATTTGGTGAGTTGTTCTTGTGTGCAGCACAGTAAATCTTGTAAAAGTGCTTCACAATGTGTAACTGACACAATATCTCACTTCCAGATTGATCTCTTCAGCACAACAGTACACATTACCAACAGCTCATCACCTTTTGTAACAAATGTCTACAGAGACATCCAGCCAGCACAACCAGTCACAACACAACCTTCCAGCAGCAGCTCTACCTTCACAAGCTGCTACTCTGTGTTGCTGATGGCCCTGAGTCTTGTTCTGGGAAGGAGTTAGAGCCAGAACAAAAAAAGCTGCTGCTCTTTCAGCAACTTATTGTGTTGCTGATGAACCTGCTCTCTTGCCCTGTGTAATTTTTCTAATTTTATCCTTCTCCAAATACATAAAGAGTTGACTAAACTATTTATTCATTAGTGCCCTCAATTCAATGTATACTGTAGGACACAAGATGAACTTATAATTACTCTTTTTACATCCAATCAAAACAGAGCTATAACTTCAAAATAAATCTGTAATTTCAAAAATATGTGATGATGGATGTGCACGTTACTGTTAGCAGATGAAATGTATTGACAGAAATAGAACACTCAAAACCAAACCCTTCCTGCCTTTGTCGGGTTTGTGTAATGGACATTTTTATCCATAATCATAAAGACAGCATCTGCTTCTTTGCACATGCTGCAGTACTATGAGCTTTTGTAAAATGTTTGTTCTGTGCCAGTTAAGTTTGTGCAATCTTAGTTTTACTTGTGTTTGAAACTTTGTCATAATGTAAGAGCATTAAAGTGAATCACTATTTTTGCACTTGGATTGAACTTGAAAAGGGAATTTCATTAAATAGACTGTGGACGAGAGAAACCAGAAGTTCCTTGTCGTGATGGTTGTTTTCTCTTGTTGGTTGATTGATGACTGAATTATTGTGTGCATTGCTGTCTTCAGGGTCAGCTCATGTCATGGACAAATTATAATGCTTGACCAAGTTAAAGGTTGCAGAAACAAATTTAAAATAAGAAGGTGCCTTTGAAGAGTCAAGTCAATAGTTGTAACATTGGTTTTCCTTAATGAAAGCCACCTGATGATGCAGTTCCCAACTGACTGTTTCGGGCTGTACCTCTTAATAAGAGGACAGTCTCTACCCCCTCATCAGCATCTATCGCTGCTGGGCCCATCCTACTTCTCCTGCTGCCAGTCTCTGTGCCTTTTCATGCAATCTTCTGTGAGACTGGAACTGCCAATATATATATATATATATATGTGTGTGTGTAATATACCAGTAAGTATTTGGTTCCTACTGGTTTCTAACCAGTAGGAAGACCTAAATGTAGTCAACACTTCTCACATATATCATCTTTATGACTCAGTTTTACTGACACAGTGGTAGCTTTAGGCACTAATTTGTTCAGTTATTTCAGATATTTGAAGACATTGAAGAGCCACAAAACTACCAGCAAATCAAAATGCCAAAGAATAAAGAGCTTTATTGATTAGAGACTAAAGTTTTAACTTTTGTTTATTTTCATTCAGCTTTAAAGTTTACCTGTATTTCTTTCAAGGAAAACACCCATCCACCCATCCAACAGCTATGATGGTGTTATGTCACTCTGAAAACGAGCACATGACATGACCATTGTCCTGAAGGTAAATCAGGCAGCTACCCACATACTGTTCTGTGCTGCTGCATGTAAAAAATGTGCTTCTGCAAACAGATTTCTCACTCTCTCTCTCCTTAGGGAAATAAACAAAAAATACTAATCAAAGCCAGGTCACCAGGAAAAAATATCAAAACCGGCAAGTAGATCATTTTGTCAGGCTGGAAACAAAACCAGCAAAATGTCATTTATACATAAGTTTTACTGTCAAGTGGGATTTATGTAATTATTACAATATTTAATTAGAAATTACTGTCAAAATACACAGTCAGTAGTATTAGAGTTCTTTAAATGATTCAGCTCATTCCAAATTTTTGATAGCTTTTTCACGCCTGTCATGGTTTGGTTCTTCGTCCTTGTGCTCATTTTGGTGTCAAGGGTTCCCAGCCACTACTTTCACACAAAACGTTCTTGAGAAGCCTCATTTATTACTACTGACATCTAGTGGATACATTTTGTGTAGCAAGCAAACCCTAACACATTATATGTTCCATGATGCACAACACAATTATTATGGACATGGAGCAGTTAATGGTGTTGCAGTTATCACAGTGATGTTATAATTAAGCTATATTTAGGTATAATAGACTAAATTAACAACAACCTGCACTCATAGGCAACTACCTCCTTATACCTTCAGATGTTACAGTACTGGGAAATTGTTAGGAGCCGATATACTTTGGCTCTTTGAAGAAGTGTTTAGCCTGAAATAGCCTATAAAAGCTGTGACAAATCAAACACTAATTCTCACTGATTAATCAAATCCTTACTTTACTTCATGCCTAAAAGTATGTTCACATTGCATCGGAAAAACAGATTTTGCATGCACCTCACCATTGTTCTGTATGTGGGGCGCTGTGTAGGTTCTGCACGGATGTCTGTGGTGCACAGCACTGAGTGCGGGTGCTCCAAAAGTTCAAATTTGTTGAACTTTGTGCTGACTTCTCTGCACGCAGCCAATCACGGTTTTGCCATGGCTTCACCTATACTCATAAAACCCCAGGTTACAGTATGTAACCAACGTTTCTGAATTTTCCCAAACTGTACAATAATATGATCCTCATGTGGAGATCACATAAAGACAGACAACCTATTTAGCTTTTGAAATATCAGCAGACAGGTGCCGCCAGCAAAACTGTTAAGTTCTCTTTATTTTATTTATTTATTTTTTTTTTCTTACAGACACTGAGACATTTCTCCCTGCACTTCATCTTTTGTGGGGAAGTCTACTAACTTCCCCTTTTTCCACACACCAACTTCCCCTTTTTCAAACTGAATCAGTGCATACACACAACAGTACATCACCTACTCTTACTGCAAATATCAATTACATATCCATCGGTAAATTAGTTCTGACTGTACAGACTGTAGATACTGCACACTCTGCACTGCTGTTATTGTACTTCTGGTTAGATGCTAAACTTTATTTTGTTGCCTTGTACTTGCACATGGGTAATGACAGTAAAGTTGAATCTAATCTAATCCAGTCACTGGTAAACATAGTGGAGCATTTAAGGAGTCAGCAGATTCCAAAAACTGAGAGTCATATAGAGGATGCTTGTACATAACACTATGAAAAGCATGGCCCAGTGATGTACTAAACTAATCGGAGGACTTATTTATCAGGAAGTAAGATTGAGGAACTCATTTGACCTGAGTTGGACCCTGCTGGTGAAGTTCTTGATTTTGTAACTTGGTCTCACAGGTTCCTCTAAACCTTGAAATTCAAAACTCAATTGCCTTTGGACTTGGCATCTTATTTTTTAAATAAGGCTTGAAACACAGTCTTAAAAATCTTATTTTTAAATTGTCTACAATTTTATTTTGTAGCATTTAGCATTCAGCAGGGCTCTGTTTGCCTTCTATTTGTATTTTTTTAAAATAAAGCTGCTAGATTCTTGTTTCTTATATTTATAATGTTTACTTATTTTGTATTTGTCAGTTTTTATTAATGATATAAAGCACTTTGGTCAGCTGATGTGGTTTTAAATGCTCTTTTAATAAATTTGACTTGATTTTGACTTGACTTGCAGAATTTAGTATATTTACATAATACATGTAACAACCATATTGGCAGAGTCATGAATACAGACATTGCCTGGTAAAAACTAGGCTATATTCAAGAACTGATCAAATAAAGAAACATCTGCCTCTGCTAATCAGATTCTGATAGTTCTTTAGTGTAAAGATAAGGGCGTAGTCTTGTATTAATGAAGTGGACTCAGATGACATGCTGGTTGGGCTGAGTTAAAAAGAGATGTGCCCACAGCAGGTTGGCAGACAGAGAGGAGGCAGAGGTGTGTTAAAGGTAAGACACTATGCTGCTCATATTACCAGGGTTTAGCTGCAGCAACACAACCTACTCTAATTGTATGAAAAGAACCTTTGCTTTTCTTTTTGTTGTTGTTGTTTTTGCAAACAAAATGAAGCACTCTGCTGTCTTTATCACAACAAGCTGTATAAGTTTAAAATTTGCATTATTTTAACTTTTTTAAAAGGTTGATGTAGCCTATTTAAAATTTGTGTGTAGCTGTCTTAAATAGCAGAAGGTTTTGGCTTTTATGTACAAATTAGAAATCCACTGAAAGTATTTAAACAAATTAGCTGATTTGCATGACCCTAGAATGCAGACGGTCACTGGTGAATAAATTGGTGAGTGACTTTTTATCTGTTATTTTAGATGAGCTGTCTTGTAGTAGCTGTGCTTGCTGTGTACGCCTTCCTACCCGGCATCTACACAGTCGGTAAGTGTTTGAAGCCTTACTCATTTGTGTAGACTTTTTGTCATGACTAAATGATAACTATGTGCTCTTGTCCTCCCCCAGAGTGGTGTTATGATCGGCCAAGCTGCAGTGAGTAATCCCCTAAATGACTGCAGTATCACCTTAACCTCTGCTCCTCTTCAGCTACTCATGTAGGCCTATGTCTGTTTATAGATGCCTCCACCTGGCCGACCAGTTTTCCAAATTATTGCAGTGGAAAGAGACAGTCACCCATTAACATCATCTCAGCATCTGCCCAACCCAACTCCAACCTGACTCCGTTCACCTTTCAAAACTTCAGCAACCCCTCTGCCCTTAA